GAGAAGACAGAGGTTTGTATATACGAAGTAGGGTGAGTAGTTAGCTTTTATTTATGTTAATTATAACAGCAAGAACAATGATAATGATAAGGAGAAGCAAAAGAGGAGGAAGAAGTAGAAAATGAAAGTGATCAATGTGGAGGGAGAAGCCATTGAAATAAGCCACCATTTACAGTTCTTCCAAAGTTGCTCTCTCTCCCCCACACGCATTGACGGAAATATGCGAATTTCAAAAGAAGTGGTGTGGAAGGAGGGGGGAGGTGAGGGTGAGGGTGAGGGTGGTAGGAGGGGAAATAAGACGACTCAATCGCAAAGTATATAAAGTAAAAGTTCAATATCTTCCTCAGTGAAGTTATTTTGAACCTAGAAAGACCTCCTTGAAGTACTAAGTACACTCAATGGTTTCGTCTTCCACCATGCCCACAGAGTTGACGTCGTCGCTGTTTCGTCATCGGATGAATGGTCAACGAAAATATCGTAGAGGAAGTTGATCAGGTCAGCAAATTCGTAGTCGTCGTCGTCGTCGTCGTCGCCATCTCTGTAAGAGCTATTGACTTGATTCAACCTCCTAAGTTCTAGCTTTTCCTAAAATGTAATGTCATTTAAAGTGAGCATCTCAACAAACCTCTTCCACAATTGCACCACCAATTTTGTGTAGCATATTGATTAAGTCAAATGGTGTACGGTCAAGCGGACACGTATGTTTAGCTTCATACCACTTTTCGATGCAATCGTAGCAGAAGATGTGTTAACATCCACCTAGCATTCCGATTGAGGCTTTCATTTCCTCCAGACATATAGGACACTGATCGTTAGACGCCATAACCCTAGACAATATGCCAAATTTGGTGCCAGATTGTATTACACTTAAACAAACAAAATCGTGACACAATAACAAATGAGCATTCGAGTATTAAATTTTCCCAATTAATCGTCATTCAAGCAGTTGTCATAGTTAAATATTCCCCTTAATTACCATTGTCATTATTTTTGTTATTGCTATATTGGTTTCTCCTTATATTGATTTACTCAACTCAGGGCCAGTTTATGACAATCTTTCAATTTTATCACTCAGTTTATAGTCAAACCCACTCTAAGCTAATTATCCCACTAGTGTGAATAAATAAATTAGAAAAATTTGTGCTAGTTAGACCTCTCTATCCATTCATGTTTGTGAGGTTGGTTATTTTCTCCCTACTAGAACACTAATTACTTAACTCAATCACGCAGTTCCCATTCAACTCACACAGACACTTTCAGTACAGGATGAGCTTTCATTCACCCATTCCATCGTGACACTTGAGGCCTATTTAAGCTTGGATGGTTGTACCAATTTTGCAGCTTGTTTTACGCTATTCCAGTTTCAAGTGAAATTTCTTCTGTCCTATATCAAACAAATGGTTTTTGGTCTTAGCATTTGCACAACATTTTACGAGGATAATCATGAAAGAAGATAAACAAAATCACCATCAAGACGTTTCTATAGTTTGGACCAATTTCATTCACCATTTCTCAATTCTAATCATCATTTACCCTCCTCCGTAGACACGTAATTTGGACTTCTGCCCCACTGAATTTGCCAATGTACTACAATCACATGAGGCCCATGGTGGCTTGTACTCACCCCCTCTGTCTCTCGATTCACTCCTCGCCGAGAATATGAGAGAGTGAAATATCGCCACTCAATACCATGGGCATTCAATTCAATGATGAAAATGGTTAAGTGAGCAGGCAAATCACAAATTATCCTAACATCATTTTTCGGCACTGTCAAAGGTATTGGTTAGTAGATCTTGAGTGGAATATTTCGCTTCTATACCTATTAACAATTAATTTGTTCCATTAAACTACGTTGTGGAGTTTGATTAGTTGCCAATATTAGATCAAATATTATTTCCCCACTACAAAATGCATCCAACACATATCACTATACAATCTAACTAAGCACACGTGTTTGGGTTCAATTTTCCCTACAGAACAAATGCGCCAACTCCTGTGTGACCTTCAATTCGACTAGCCGCAAAGAAAGTGTGTGGTAAAACCATTAGAGATGGAGAAATAAACTAATGCAATGCAAATTTGTCACTGGAATATTAATTAGCTAATTATTAATATTCAGTGAAGCAAAGAAAACTCTTTGTTTGAATATGTGCAATTAAGATTCACACATATTTTACCCCAATTTGGGAAGATAATGGAGTATACTATGTTGAGTTACCAATGAGAAGTGGTATGATTTGAACCTAATGATTTGTTATTTAAAGTAAATATTCACTCTATATGTAATGAACAGCACTCTTTTGATACTTAGATTGATATATTAATACATTCAAATTCAATTTCATATACTTACATTTGCTGAATTTAGTCGAATCAGTAAACCTAATTTCGTTATAAGAATATTCAAATGGAAATAAACATATTCGTATACTTGTTGAATATCTACCAATACACATATATGTATAAATGTACATGTGTTTATTCATGTATTTACATTGAGCTAATACTTAATGTCAGGGATTTCAGTTACGGACTTATTTAATGTTAACATTCTCCATTGTGGGACACTTCATCAATGACCAAATAGAAATCCTGGTATAGAATACTACTCAGATATATTTAGCTATTAAAGTTCAAACGAATTATGCTAGAGTTATCTGATAACTAATCGCTTTGCCAACATGACACTTCGCTATCAATATACGTACCGAATAAACGTATTCCGTGCTACACGTCCGTTTCCCTTATAGCTGGGCAATAGCTCAGCTTGTTCTGGGAGTCTAGCTAGATGTTGGAGAATCTGCCATAGAGATTTCTGAATCGGTCAGGCTTTACTAGCGTAGTAATCCGCTACACCATCATGTGAAAGTTTGTATTTTTCAGAATCTTGGTAAGAAATGGCTACATCGTATAACTTGAATTGTTCTTCAATATCACAGTGAAGTTCTTTCAGAATTGTTCGATCTTTGTTTCTTTCCCACCGTTCTCTAATGGTCACCAGTGAAATATGATATTCATACCGAAATCACGGTGGGGCTGTTTTGCTTTATTAGTCTTTCCCAACTGATCGGTTATCCACTTTTCTGCAAATATTATCGCCATTATTGTTGTCTCCTTGTAGATCATATACTCTTCATACTGAAATTCATTTGTCGAAATTAACATTGTGAATGAAGTTGTTGCGGCAATTAGTGGACATGAACCCACTCCAAGTGTGCTTACCCTCACTTAATTTGAATAGAGACCTTCCTTCTATTTCGAGCCTCAAATGAATTGTTCGAAATTCCCACTTTCAAAAATCTGATTGTTGATTAGTTGGATTGGATTGTGAGTTGGAAGCCATCATTTCTGACTAGTCTCCGAATCACACCTCAACATTTGTTTCTACCACTGCAATTTCGGAGGAAAAGCAAACGAAATGTTCCCCATGGTGTCAATAGAGTAGTCGCAAACAGTGCAGCCCATCGGGGAAATATTACGCCAGGCAGTAAAGGAGGCAAATGCTACTGGAAACTCCACCAGTCGCCTAATATATGTAACTGATAGAAATTCCGAACTCAAGTTCTTGGTGGACACCGAATCCGAAGTCAGCGTTATCACTCACCGGGACTTCCCTTCTGGCAGCCATCAGCGCACAAATCCCTATCTACAGATCAAAATTCCTTAATCTGGATCTAGGCATACGTCAAGAGTTTCCATTTGTATTCCTGACCGCAGACTTCCGAAAGCCCATCATCGGTGCTGATTTCCTTTCCAAAATCCAACTGCTGATCAATCTCAGAAATAGCGCACTTCAGGCTAATGTCAACAAACAAACGTGTCCGCTTGACCGTACACCATTTGACTTAATCAATATGCTACACAAAATTGGTGGTGCAATTGTGGAAGAGGTTTGTTGAGATGCTCACTTTAAATGACATTACATTTTAGGAAAAGCTAGAACTTAGGAGGTTGAATCAAGTCAATAGCTCTTACAGAGATGGCGACGACGACGACGACGACGACTACGAATTTGCTGACCTGATCAACTTCCTCTACGATATTTTCGTTGACCATTCATCCGATGACGAAACAGCGACGACGTCAACTCTGTGGGCATGGTGGAAGACGAAACCATTGAGTGTACTTAGTACTTCAAGGAGGTCTTTCTAGGTTCAAAATAACTTCACTGAGGAAGATATTGAACTTTTACTTTATATACTTTGCGATTGAGTCGTCTTATTTCCCCTCCTACCACCCTCACCCTCACCCTCACCTCCCCCCTCCTTCCACACCACTTCTTTTGAAATTCGCATATTTCCGTCAATGCGTGTGGGGGAGAGAGAGCAACTTTGGAAGAACTGTAAATGGTGGCTTATTTCAATGGCTTCTCCCTCCACATTGATCACTTTCATTTTCTACTTCTTCCTCCTCTTTTGCTTCTCCTTATCATTATCATTGTTCTTGCTGTTATAATTAACATAAATAAAAGCTAACTACTCACCCTACTTCGTATATACAAACCTCTGTCTTCTCATCACTGTGTTAAAGTAGATGGATAGTGAGGTCACCATTTACGGTGACCGATATTCGCCTCTTAGGTCAGAAACGGCAAGTGCATAAAAATATTAAACTCACGTTTGAGATTGTGGTGGTTAATTTTGAGCAGTTACTTGGCCTGGAAGTCAATTAAGCCGACGGTGATATTGTTGTCAGGAAGCCAATCATTTCGAAATCTGCTTGAATTAGTGCTGTGCTAACACCGTCCAATTAGTTGACACTGGCAGTGTCCGCACATTTGCAGACACACATTCTGCTCAACAGTATCAAAAGGAAATTCGTGAAGAAGAGTGAAATTGAGGCATATACACAATTTCAACTATTAGATCCACTGGGAACATTCTAGGTCCAACAAATTCTCAAACGCTTCATCCACTTTGGAGCTGATGCCTCATTTTGCAGGCGTTAATGCAGTCACCGAGCTTGTTCGGAGGATCAAGTGTGGGGTCGTCCACCATTACATTCAGTTTGAGATCTCGTTAATTCAACGTACATTCCCATTAACACCTCATTCACTTTCATCATTTTGGAAATGAAAAGAACCAACGCATGAAATATTGCGCCTGCAAAAATGGGTGAATCGATTACATTTGATATCTTTCACTCAGTTGTGTTTATTTAGCAGTATTGCATTTATGTGATTGGACGAGAGGAACATGAGTCGAGCAACATTCACCCTGGGCAGTTTTATTCCCTCCAAGAGCACGTTTTTCTTTGTCGCCTTAAGTAAACGAAGATTATTATTTTAATGAATATGTTGAAAGAGGAAAACACTTGTCATTGTCAGCAATCTTTCGTTGATTGGTTAAATGGCGAGTGGAATGGGCCATTTTTGAAGGAAACACTTTTTGCCAGCCAAGAGTGCATAGTGCGAGGATTTGATTCTTTTACCATATATAAGTGGGTGCGTCACTTTCTTGCGAAGTATATCCAATTATTTGTCATTTGAATTGTCTGCTGAACAACCGTCCAATCATATATTTCCGTCAATTCTTGCATTAATAAATGCATGCGTATATACATATACTTATATATATTTATTATTACTTACGTACACGTGCACATATGTCTATATGCCATATGAATGATTTGCGAATGTCATGTGATTACACTGCCCACAACTGAATTGACAACAAATGCATTCTAAGCACTACTTAATCAACACATACATACATAAATACATTTTATACTCAATGTGTTTCTTGCTGCGAATACTCTTAGGAATATTGCATTTCATTTTAAATACAGTAATCTGTTTCGCTCTGTTAATTCTATCAAGGGTGAAATCAATTGT